TTCTGAAATTGTAAAATTTATAAATTTTGGAACACAGAAATACAAAAATACAAAAGTACATAAATACAGAAATATAAAAATATAAAGACTTCGTGGATACAAAAAATGTTGACAATGTTGTAAATTGATTGCTTATATGATGTACGTTTCCTACGTGTGAAGTGAATTCGCACACATAAAATAAGGAAACGGTTGAATTGCGTTGTCTGAATAAAGTTCAGACTTCTAAAAATAGAACTGCTTCCTAAATTTTTATTGTAATTTAGGACTTTTTGTTTATTCTAATTTTTAAAATTATAAAATTACTTTTCTAAAATTTTTTTAGTATATATGTTTGTAATTTAAAAATATTTTTTCTTTTTAAAAAAATTATGTATGTATGAATTAATGTTTTCTTTGTGATACAACATAATATTGCATAGAATATCTACACAGTCGCTCAGACTTTTGGGAAAAGTATCACGCTTTTGAAAGAAATATTAGTTTTTTTGGTTACCAAACTTTTTATTTAAAATATTAGTCACGAAGCATTACTCACCTAATTTTAACTGTTTCGACAATATTTTTAGCAGACTTTCCGCCACTAAACCTTGAATTTCTGGAAACCATATTAAATACATCATATTAAATTGTATGACGTAGTTTGAATTTGAAAAATTGAGAATATCAAAACATTGAAGTTTACAAAGATTTGTTGATTCAATAACTGTAAAGTGAGAGTGAATTTGGAATATTTTCGTTTTTTTATGTATCAAAAGCGTTTCCTGTGCTGAACTTACAATTTTTATGATTCATATCTCATTATGAAGCATTATTTTTAATACAATTTAACTGAAAATGGAAATTCACAAATTGAAAGAAATACCATTGTATTTGGGTCACTCTCTCTAAATTTTCCAATTGCCAAATCCCCAAATTCAAAAGTTCTAAATTTCCAAATTTTCAGATCTCTAAATTTACAGATATTTATATCCAAAAATTTCTAAATTGCTAACAAATTTTCACATTTCCAAATCATTAAATGTTCGAATTACAATATCTTCGAATGTTCAAAATCCTTATTACAAGATGACAATTTCAACAATTCTTTGATTATTCATTAATCGAATAATTAATGGATCAATACATGTTAATCAATCAATCAATATGTACATGCTATTATTAATGTCGATAAAGTTATTATTATTAATCCTTTATGATGTTATTTATGTGCATATTTATCATATTTTCGATAGAATTTATCATATCCTACTTACATAAATGTATCAAAAGTATTATAAAGAATAATAACTAATAACGCATTTTAACGGTATTAATTACATATACTAATTTACAACATTCATTAATTGTTAAATTTATGATAAACTTGTTGCAATTGTCATCGCTCTGGCCATAGACAATTTTCTTACACATACTTTGATGAATTTTTTAATTCAATTTTCTCAAAAATTAAGTTATATATAAAAAGATTTTACTCTACCTTTCGACACATTGTTTTACATAGAATTAGACCTTATTTGGTTTTACTAGTTACATGACATCCTGTGTATTATTCATCTAAAATCCCCATAAAAAATTGTGAGTTTATCGTAATATCACTTATTTATGACCTAACTTAACCCCAAAAATTGAAAGTTTATAAAAATGTTTTTAAAAAATATATAAATACAAATTCCATTGACTACATCCTCAAAGCAACAAGACATCTTATACTTTACAGTATTACTGTTAAACACAAACAAACCAATTTAATGTTTTGATCTATATTAAGTATGCTACGAATGTGACATCCTTAGGGAGATACTCGAAAACCTGTGCGCTATTTGGGGTTGTCAAATTTCTTTCGAAAAATATATTTTTACATATGTAAAAATATGGTACATCATGAAAAAACATACATAATACTTTTTAAAAGAAAATGGTACATATCAAGTAAAATTATATTAAAGTAACATCGCATCTTGTGTTCAAAAGACTTCTTGCTACAAAATAACCAAATAGGATTTTATCAATAAGTCAGAAATTTTTACATACTACATCTTGGATTAGTAATAATACATTATACCAAAACATAGTATACAGTTACACATTATAGTATGATTGGTAATCGTAACTGTAGCCAAAATTAACCTTTTGCACTCGAAAGATGACGTACACTCACCGTTCGGTTTAAAGCAATTTGAAAAAAGTATTTCTTAATTAAATCATGTTAAATGTTATCATGTTTATAACATGTTATGTTGTATGAATATGGTAAAATAAAGTAGTTAATAATAGAGAAATAATAACTTCAAAAGAATTCATCAAACTTTTCACCCAGACAATTTAAGAATTGCTACCTGCAGCAAAAATGTCTTTGGGTGCAAAGATTAATACGCAAGGTTAATAGGTATGTAAGGTTAATACGTAGGCAAAGGTTAATACGCAGCGACCGAACATTTGATTCGTAAAGTACAGTGGTCTCACTTCGTAAGTGAAAGAAGACAAGCTCGAGATCACTGTCTCAGTAGAAAAATCCACATATCCCTTTGATTCTCGTTGCTACAGGGCCAACGTCAGAAAAATCTCGCGGAACGAGTCACCCCGCTGCTGTCAGGGACTTACTCGTATCTCGGTCGGTGTATATAAGCGTGAGACCGGGCCTCAGGTTCGTAATAAGACCTGACGGCCAGGTTTTTCAGCATCGCTCTACCGTATTGCTCCGTATCTCCTTCTGCATTTCTTCTCTCTTTCGTTCTCTCTTGGCTTCCTGTCACTCTCTTTTTTTCCCTCCTCCTCACTCCTTCCTGATCCCATAGTAATATATATATATATAATGTATATCTATCTTTCTCTTTCTCCGCTCATCTTCCGTTTTGTCTTCTTTCCCTTTGTTTTAATTTCTATCTTTTCCTCTTTGTTGCTCCTCGCCAGTTCTTTCTTCGGGACACTCTCGCTGCCCCCGTCGTTGCGGCGTCTGATGCCATGCCAGTGGTACCGGTATTAATTTATACGCCGTACGTGTGTGCACGCCGCTTTTTCATACAGTTCCTCGAAATTTGCAAGAAACTAGTCGGACACCCTAGCGGCTCGGCCGTCTGCCACATACTGTTCGCCGCGCCGTGGCTCAGCTCGCTGCTAGTGACGCACAATGTATATCGATAACTCTAAATATCGATGTTTCATGAAAAATGCATCGCAATTTTTTACCGATATTTGTACCTACGATAATTACATATATCGATACTTTTTACACGAACATGGAACCGGTATGACATTGACGAAAAAACACAACTTTTAAAACCTGGCGAAAAATGTGTTTGATACTTTTAAATAAATAGATGATCAGGTTTGAGGGCACAGTACTCGAAAATGTACTCGGAAATTTATTAATATATGAATGATAAATTCCGAATATTCCCAAGAATTGTTATAGGTTGTTTATTATTGATTTAATTTTTACAATTAAGTTTCTTCGCACTAATAAATGAATTTTATGTAGAAGATTGTACTTGTAATTTCGAAATTTTACTTCTTTAATTATCGATTTTGTGATTTATCGATAAGAAAAGAAAAACTAAATATCGACTTCTAATATACGAGGATGTCTAACATGAATTGACGGCCACTGATGCAACGATTCACCCTTTCATATAATCGAGAAAACGAGGAATCCTGAGAGTTATAAATGTCGACATAAAATATGGATATGAATTTAAAATCGCAATAAATTTCATTGCAGATATTTCAGTTAAAATATTTTTAGCGCACTTTTTGCAACATATACTTCTTGAATAATGTACTGTTGCATAAAATGTAGAATGAAATGCTGGATTGGAAGAGACTTACGCAATAAAACTGTTATTTTGAACTGTAGGAAATTAAGAAATAGTCAAATAGGAATTTGGGAACTTGGGAATTTAGGAATGTAGGTGTTTAGGAATTAAGGAATTTAGGAATTAAGAAATGTAGGAATTTAGGAATTTACGAATTTACGAATTTAGAAACTCACAGATTTAGAAATTTAGGGGTATAAGGATTTAGAGATTTGTGAACTCACAGATTTAGGAATTTAAAGATTTAGGGTTTAGGAACTCACAGATTTAGGAATTTAAAGATTTAGAGATTTAGGGATTTAAGGACTTAGGAATTTAGGAATTTAGGAACTGACAAATTTAGGAATTCGGAAATTTGGGTATTTAGGAATTTAAAAATGTAGAAGTTTGGAGATTTTGTAATTCAGCAACTTCAAAATCTAGAAATTTCAGCATTTGGTAATTTGAAAATTGTGGGATTTTACAGTTTGAAAGCTTGTCGATCATTTGAAAATTTATAAATTTGAACAATTGATCAACTTTTATTGACAATATTGAGATATTATTTAGCGTCATATTTCTCACCTAATTTAATAACTATTATGTGCACCATCTGTAATTCATAGTGTAAATGAGCAGCACTAGTTTCATAAGTTTCTGTGCATAGCTTGCATCAGCACATAAATAGTCTTCAAATGCTTGTTGTACAATACAACGGTGTACTTGTACAGCGACCACCCAACTATCGTTGAGCACGAACCCAATTCTTTTCCTTTTTCTTCCACATTTAAGATAAATATGAAACAGAAGCAATAACTATGCAAAGTCTAGGATGTTGTCTTCTAGGGAAAATTAAACATGTTTCGAATGCCGTAAGAAACTTACGTTTCATGGTGAATGGCGTAAAACTAGATGAGAACGTTACAATTATATTACATTAATTACACTTTGATCTTATTTTTTTATTAATTTAGTTTAAATTTAAATCAAAAAATAACTTTCGAAATTAATTAAATCTATTACTGTCCCACACGGTGAACGTGTTATTAATTTATGTTTCAATCCGTGAATATTGTTTTAATTTACACATAAATATACAATTAGCTCTTACTATAACATTTTTGTCATTAAAATATATATTCGAAATAAATTTTAAAAACGATTTTGTAGCAGATATTTTAATTAATTTTATCGTCTGTTGTTTAGTGGTACAGACGTCCGTGCCTCAGAATGAAGCAGAATTGCAATTGTACAGAGTGATGCAACGTGCTTCTTTGCTGAGCTACTATGATACTCTTCTGGAAATGGGTAAATATATTTCTTAAATAAAATTATTTAACTTAAATGAAATTTTTATACGCATTTGAGTTAGTTATACCAATGCTTCATGTTGATCATTTTAACAAAAATTTGATTTTGATAACATTAAAATACTTGAAAATGCATTTAGCTATTGTAAAGAGTTTCGAATTTTATTAAGATAAATATGCAATTGTAATTTCCTGTAAAATGTAACAACATAAATTTTGTTAATAAAGATATTAGTTACAAATGAAAACAAACATATAACTGTAATATCTTTATTTAACAAAACAGTCAAATTCACATTTATAAAAAGATAAAGTGTTACATTTAGTAAAAAAGAGAAGAATTAAAACAATTTGTGGATAAAAAATATTAAGGTAGACTATTAAATATTAAGATAATTAAGAATGACGTATGGATTTTTTATGTTTTTAAATCAACATAAATATACGTATTTTTCTTGCACAAAAAATATACTCTTGTGTTACATGAAATATTCTAGGTGGTGATGACGTGCAGCAATTATGTGATGCTGGAGAAGAAGAATTTCTAGAAATTATGGCACTAGTTGGTATGGCCAGCAAACCTCTTCATGTCCGGAGACTTCAAAAAGCTCTTCAGGAATGGCTCACGAATCCTTGTAAAGTACCACAATATTGAACTGACCCTTATTACATTTAATTGGGCCAATGTTACGCCAATATAAATTTCAAATCAATATAAACGATACAAACTAACAAGGAAACATATCGAACCGCGACACACCGATTTTAATGAACTTATTTCAATGGAGACGCGTGCGCAGAAAAAATTAAGAATGACCCCCCGCCCCCTAAAACGTTGATTAACGTGCCACTTACAAGGAAACATATCGAACCGCGATACACCGATTTTAATGAAACTTATGTGAAAGATAGTTCTCAAGAAAATATTTGACACGTATTTTTTTTATCGGCCATCGTTCACATTGAAGGGGTAAAAATACCCCTCGAAGTTGGGGGTTGAAATCATATTTTTGGGAATAGTTCCGGAATTAAAGAAGATAATTGAATTCTTTTTTTTGTAAATTGTTGGCAGAAGATAATTGAATTCTTTTTTTTTGTAAATTGTTGGTCTTTAAATGGGGAATTTTTGTGCGTAAAGGAAAATTTTTGTGCGTAAAAACATTTCAATAAACTTTACTTGTTTAAATAATATTTCGAAAATTTATAATTTTTGTTTAAATTTTTGCACTAAATGTTGATCTATTTTGTTGTAACTTCGTGTACGTAAACTATGGACAAAAATAGAGGATACGTGTTTTCGGAATTTGTTGTTTATCGCAATGATTATTAGATATATAATTTTAAATCACTTCCTGTGAAGGGGGGCTAATCAGCATTTTTATTAAAAATATCATTATTTTTACAATTCTTTACCATATTTTAGACATCTTATACCTCTTTATATGCAATTAATTGATTTCTCAATAATTATTGTGACCGTCGCGTCGCAGGTATGAGCGTAACGCGGTTATGATCAACGCCGCGCCGTAAGGGACATAGGCTTTTATGGCCAATACTGCTTTTATACTTTTACAGGCGTAAAGTCTTCAACCTAAATAAAATATTTAGAACTTTTGGAAACATTGGGTGAGATATTCCCAAAAATATGATTTCAACCTCCAACTTCGAGGGCTATTTTCACCCCTTCAATGCGAACGATGGCCGATAAAAAAAATACATGTCAAATATTTTTTTGAGAGCTATCTTTCACATAAGTTTCGTTAAAATCGGTGTGTTCCGGTTCGATATATTTCCTTGTAAGTTTTATATATAATACTTTTGAAATTTCCTTGTAAGTGTAGTACCTTACTCGATTATTTTATGTACTTCTAAAAATAGTCCAACTTTATTGTAAAAAACCTTAATATACAGTACGAAACGAAACAAATATTTAGATACCTTTCAACATGTTCACATTGCATACCGCATCTACGAAAGTATATAAATTCTGTATTTAAAAATTGATGTGATATTGTTCATGTAATTCATTTAACAATTGAACAATTTTTAAATATACGAAGTTGGTAAAAACATTAATTAAACAAATAAAATTGGTTCCTGTTTCAGCACTTTTTCAAACGCCAGTTGTTCCAACAAGTGCTACGTGTAAAAATCCTGCAAGCATAGGATTCCCCTGTGCAAGTCCCAGACCGCAGGTACAAAATCTTCAAGGTTTCACGACAACGTCGCAAACAATAACTCCTACGCCTTACGTATCGTCGCACGTATCGTTAACACCATTGCCATGCAGAAGTACCAGCCCTATTGTATCTGTGACGAGTGTAACAGCACCAGTCGCATCTACAACTTTTCGACAGAGTCCAAGCCCTAATACGCCTTTACCTTATGCAACATCTCACAGTCCTGGTGTATTACAAGTACGTTAAAACTATTGGGTTGGCCAAAGAGTTTTCTCGTTTTTTTTTAAACGAAATTCCACTACAGAATTATAACTTATTATGCAGAGTATTTAAGTATTCGTTTCTGCTACCTTCTATCATATTTCAAATATCCTCATCGTGCCATCCACAAAAAATTAACCTTGTTTATTTCCAACAAATTTTTCCAGATGCATTTTGTAGACCCAACTTCTATATTAATTTTGTAGAAAATTAATGTATGCAAACATATATAAAATCTTCATTATATACCACATATCTTTTCTTCAGTTCACACAGCATGTTTACGCTTATAGTGAACATAAATATTGTAACATGAATATTGTAAGAATTGATTCTTCTTATGTTCCATTTTTAATTTTTTATAACAAATAATGAACCCTACATATTTTAACACTGCTTTTCTGTAAGATTAATTGGCATGTATAATTCTAAACTATGTATGCACATGTTAAAGAAGAATGTTCACATATAAACAACAGTATATCATCAACGGAAAAAAATGAGAAAACTTCTTGACCAATCCAGTATATTCAATATTTAAAAATTGTAAGATATTGGATAATAGTTATAAATATAATTCAAATATAAAGTAAAAAAATTTATTAAATATACATTACTTTTACAGGTGGGTACATGTGAATCATCTTGTGGTAGTGGCACTACACCAAGTCCTAGCGGCGGCGGTGGTGCACCTGCGAGTCCAACTCAGCCAACTCCAACACTTTTGCAATCACAAATACAAAGACTTGCTGAAGCAGCTGAAAGACTTGCCGCTACTATTCGACCTGTTGATCCAAAACCACATAATGTTAAGAAAAAAATTTGCAAAAATTTAGAGGTAGATTAAGAAGTTTTAATATTCAATATGTAATTGTGTTCGTGTATACAAGCATTACAGTTGTGTTATTTTTAGATAGTAATGGCTATGCCTGATAGTGATCCACGTAGAATGGAGGAAATTAGGAAATATGCAGCAATTTACGGAAGATTTGACTGTAAGAGGAAACCGGAGAAACCATTGACATTACATGAAGTGTCAGTAAATGAAGCTGCTGCACAAATTTGCAGGTTCGTACCTGCCCTTCTTACTAGAAGAGATGAACTGTTTCCTTTGGCCCGCCGTGTTGTGAGAGATTCTGGGTATCATTATTCAAAAAGTCATTAGTAAGTACATTTAGTATGTATCAACTGTTGTTAATTGTATTATATATCTAAGAAACAAAGGGTAAAAGTTAATATAAGCAAGAAAGATGAAGATAGTTTGAGTTATTACAGAAATCCTGTAATTACAAAAACCAGTGATTTTATTAAATCACCTATTGTTTTTATTTCATAGATATAAGAAATCCAATTAAAGTAATTTTAGTCATTAATATATTACTGAATATATTAATTTAAAATGTTTTAGTTTATCCGTATCGAGGTCACGTGAAAATGGCGAAGAAAACGAAACTGAGCGTACAAAACGGCAAAAGCTTGAGCTTGAGGGTGAGAATGAAGATGCGACGCAGGTTAGCTCACCTCGACCATAAAAATAAGCCGTATGCAAATGACTCAGTTTAAAATTATCACCAGCTCAGGATGAAATCAGGGACTTCGACGTAAAGAAATATTTTTATATTAATTCGTTTAAATGTTTATAACAAAAAAATTTATGTTATGGAAATTTAATAATACCTTAAAAGGAAAGATATTCGAACACCGATAGTAAAAATTTATCAAAATTATGGTAATATAACATATTCAGAAAATTAAATATAGTAAATCACATGTTAGGTATATTAGGGCTTAAAAAAATAATATACCATCAATACAATAATTGTTAAGTAGTAATCAGAGAGAAATATCAGAAGAAATTTTTATTATTTAAAAATAGTTAATATAAAATATTCTATTCGTTCTAAATATGAAGAAGCATATTTCAAAGTCCTTGATGAATTCTCATAGTTGTGATTGTTTTGACCCGGGATCGTTGGCATATTAATGAGCTGCTGCACTCGCTTGAACGCTAACCACTAACCATGCATCCAGCACGTAAACTACCACTGCGTTGATATATACGCGAAGCATCGGCACAAAAGGTCAAGTATAGCTTTCGCATAATATGCGCATGGCTTTGCACTAACTGTTTGTATACAAATTTCCGATTAATACTTAATGTTCTACACAAATATTTTGAATAGTCTATAGGTTTCTCAAAATCATTTGAAGTAATTTTCTTTAAATAGCTGTTCAATCAATAATTGATTTGATTAAATCAAGATTATAGAACAAAGGATTATGTTTGAAATAAAATAAATAACTGCAACACTTAATTCACACTTGTTAGGACTCTATGCTTTGTTCCTGGTGCCCTGACAAGTTGTGCATGGTTGTTTCATTGTTTTTTATCTTCATATATATATACTTCTACATTGCTAACTGTCTGTTTTTTCTTCCTTTCCATATTGTACCATATTTGGCACTTCTACTGTCTTTAGCAGTTCATTGTTCTAGGAGGAGTTGGATCTTCGGTGTCCTGACATAGATATAAATAACTCGACAATGAGAAGACATAGATCATCAAGGTGATTATTTTGAGTTCACTGAAAACAATAATTAACATAACATATTAAGAAAATGTATTATAAAATAAAATAAAAATAATATTTTAGAACTTAGTAGAAATTAATAATATATCTTGAATATGTAATATTTTATTAGAAATTATTTTGCAAGTATATATTGATGTTCAGACATTTGCATTGTTTTAGTCCAGTTTGGAGGAAGAAGAATAACAATGGTATGTTCGGTGGAAATATTGAAGAAATTAGCGACTCTGATAGTCAACTCTCCTTTTCAAATGAAGAATCTTCATCAATACATGTGAGTAAAAAGACTATATAAATAATGTAACAACAACAAAGGTAAAATGACTGATCTATTTGCAACAATAAGACTTCCCAAAAAGGTTTTCTAATTTTAATTTATTAGAATTATTACGTAACTATTTTTAGGATGCCAATGAAGTTGAAGCAGATAACACTGATAAAGAAAGTGATTTCAATCTCAAGGTATACTTCTCTAATCACTATATGTATAATGCAAATGTACTTTCTTATTCTTTTCCCCCCAAAAGAACATTAATTCTTATATTAAGTTTTAAAAAAGTGCAACTTTTGAATAGAGTATTTTTAAAGCATATTTTTAAGTAGATATTTTCAAATAACATTGATAACGTATTATTTTTTCTTAATATAAATGTGTATTTTAAATATATTAGATTTGTAATTTTGTTAACAACAGGTAATAGCTTCACGGGGGGACAATATAATTGCAGTAGCAAATCCTGCATTAATGGAATGTAATCATCCTATAAAAGAAGAACCAACGGACGAAAAACCAACGCTGTGATATTGTTAAAAAATTGTATTATCTTCTTTAGTATCATTTCTACAAATATATTTCAGCTTGTATTAGAATAAGAATTATTATTATCTATGTCTGATTATCGCCATGTTATTTACTATGATTCTTATATTAATTGTTGCTACAGTTGTAAAAACTTGTTCATTAGAAACTACTCCAAGATCAGATTTATTTGATTATTAATATAATTTTTCTAAAATTTGCTAGATTATGTTAATACAGTATTGATCATTATGCAATTTTAATAAAATTTTAGTATATATATTTTAAACTATAAAAATACCTTTAGACATTGTATATACTGTGTTTGTTTAAATCAAAACAAAACATACGTTGACTGAAATATAATTACATATTGTATAATAGTAATGTTTGTAAATATTAAATATTAAATATTGTTTTAATATTAATCATTAGAACAATTAACATTTTTTATTCTTTCTATTGTATTTTTAAAACAATTTACATGTTATTGCATAATAAATATATACAAAAAATATTATTCCATATCATCATATTATAACGCAGAAACATGTCCGTGGGTTACGCTGAGACGTTGTACACATGTGTAACGATTCTGGAACCTAGGTTCAGATGTTAACAGCGCTAATGAGGTAAAGAGCGGCTTTTACCAACTGAACGACTCGTTTTGACAAATAACTAAATCTAAAGATTGTAGGATTCGTGTTGTGTGCGGTTAAGGAGTGAAATCCACAGGTCAATATCTTTTCACAATTAGATTTATTCAATAAACGATAAGAAATGAAACTAACAAATAACAATAACAACAAAATAAAGAAAAGTATATAGATTATAAATGATTAATTGGAATAAAGAATTAAATAGCTTTTGAAATAGAAATAATAGAACTTGACAAATTAAACAATGTGTAGTAGATAATCGTGAATTTAACAAAATGACTCTCGCTAGTTAATACTTTATATTAAATCGTACATATGTCTGATTTCGGATAAAGTTAACTTCGCTTTTATAAAATTAACTGAATTCGAAATTCTATAAATTTATCTGGATTAATACGTTTGTAATTTATAATGAATATTCTTTTACGAAATTAATAATATTAGCGTGTTATAGTCCACCGCAGCGAGGAATTCGACCTAAGTGTGATTCTCTAAGTGTACCTAGATACGCTTTCGCAGAGTTAGACAGATTAACGATTTTATCTAATGCGGTGTAGTCGACTACGGAAATTACGCTAATGACAGAACAATATTCTTTTACTAATTCAAAATTCCAAGATTTGTCTGAATCTAAATGAATTATTTCCTCGGAACAGTTACTCTTTTAATCTGACTCGACAACTAATTGTCCATGACCCTTTTTGTCAAAACGAACATTGACAGCCAAAACCAGATCGCTTAATTGGGGAGCCTGCGTTAGCTAGCTACTAGAACGACCCAACGATTCCGGAAAAGGGTGAGCAGTATAAGTCTAACAGGGTAGCAAATCAATTGATTCTAATTATAAAATCGTAATTGCTGAACTGCCACCCAAAAGACACGGGCTTCAGAGACCAAGCCGCTCAAATGGAGAGCCTGCGTTAGCTAGCTACGAAACGACCCAGAGCGAGCTCTAAGAATCTGATGGCGCGTTAGCAATCCGATGAAAAATCAAATATGAGTAGCTGAGAGTAGCTTATCGTTTCGATGTCTTAATCTTTCTTGGCGCTAAGTATAGCACTCTCCTAGCGGAGTTTCAGATACGAGACCGTTTGAATGGGGAGCTTGCGTTAGCTAGCTACTAGAACGACCCACGATCAAGTATCCAAATGGCGTATGCTCGCTTTACCAGTCAAGTATTAAGAATCGTTGCGACTCTTGACAGCGAAAACTGTTCCGGTTATACTTATCCAGGAGACTTCTAGCGTGCTCGACTTCGAAAACTGTTCTGCGATTTAGGCGGGTTTCGCTCGGCCTTTTATACTCGCAGGCCTGTCGATTTCATGGAAAATCCCCATAATGTCGAAATATATAATTGTCGTATAAATTCGCAATTAGACATTAATTATGAAAACGAACGATTTAATTACATTATTAATATTGCATTCTACTCGGTAGTTTATATTGTTGATACACAAATAATAGTTTAATAGTGTTTTAATAAAAATTGCATTTTCTGTCTTCTTCTTTATACTGCGCACGACTTCTATACGGATCGGAGCTAAATGTATAAGCATACGATGCTTCTCGAACATTCCATAGCGTAATATTATAATTTACAGTATATCCTGCAATAAACTAACATTTGACTCTAGTTCCGGATAACATAATATCAGTAGGCTCGATATGTATTGACTGATTTGTTTAATTTTATTATGTTATAATTTTAATAACTAATAATGTCCTAATTGTAAAATGTATTCCTATCCTTTTCTAGGATTACGCGAGAATACTAGGAAATTCGGGGCGAGCATCGTGGCACGAGGGAAACACCGCGGCACGTAGGCACATAGCATTGCGGAAATTTCCATATAGAACTATACATTTATTACAAAAATAATAAAATAATTTTAAGAAAAAAAATACGCCGACTTCGAAATGCAATAAAAAGTATAAAATAATTTCTATTTCCTAATGAAGTAATTTCTATTTCATTCAATCATACAATTACGTAACAGATATGAATGAAACCTATTTACTCGTTAGGTATTATATTAAATACATAGATAGTATATTAAATACATTTCAATCTTTTCGGAGGCGGCGCATAATTAAAAACTACATCAGTAAACGTTGCTGCCAATAACCAGTTGATTGTGGTATGACGTATTGGAAACTAATAAATCCTGAGAAGGCATACGAACCATTATAGATATATCTGGTAATATACATAAATGTAACGACTGCAT